GCGGCGGCAGCGCGGCGCGCCCGGCGGCACTCGCAGCAGAGGCCACCGCGGCCCCGGGCGGCGCAGCCCGCCACGACGGCGACCCCCGGGGGCTGACACCCGCCGGGCTGCCCCTTCTCGTTCGGTTTCCCCGGGGGGCTGCGCCGCCGGTCGGGGTCGCGTCGGGGCGGCTGCGGCTCCTTCTCTTCCTCCTCCCGCTGTTCCTCCGGCGGCGGCAGCTCCTCACCGAGGAGGTCGCGGTACCTGCGTCGGAGGACGATGTCCTTGGAGGCGCCGGGTGCGGCGCCGGGGTGGACGGTGGCCAGAGAATTGACGAGGCTCTTGAAATATTCGCGGCGCTCCCGCCGCTGCTGCTCCGTCAGCGCCGGGTCGCGGAGGAAGGTCTGGAAGTGGCGGAGCAGCGCCGTGTTGGGGGCTCGCCCCCCGGCCGCCCAGAGGAAGTCCAGCACGGCCTCCTGGCTCAGCTCCCGCGCCATGCTCCGCACCTGCCGGCTCCCGGTACTCCGCCTCGGCGATCGGTGCTGCGCCCAGGTGTGCGGCGCTGAACCCGGGGAAACCCGCCTCCCGCCTCGCCGGTCCTCTCCGCCTCCTCCTCCTCCTCCTTCGCAGCCGGGCCACCACCCCCCGGTTGCCTTTGCCCCGGGTGGCGGCCCGTGGGGCTGGGGTGACAGCGGTGACGAACGGCGGCGGTGAAGGAGGGAAGCAGGGCAGAGGGGCTGGAGCAGCCTTGATAGTGCTCCGAGAAGCGGGAGGCTAATGTGCGAGAAGAAAGAGCACTTTATCCGTCATTATGCCAGTGAACAGATAGGAGGCGATGGGCAAATCGCCTTGTATCGAAACTCAAGATATTCCTTGTGTGTTAAGAAAAACTCTTTTACAGTGAGAGTGTTCAAATACTGGAGCAGGTTGCCCGGAGAGGTTCTGGTCATGGACAATGACCATGGACATGCCCCATGGACATTCAAAGCTTCAGTGGATGCAATCTTGCTCTGTGTGTGAGAACCTGACAGAAAAACTGACCAGATCATCTCCAGAGGTGCCTTCCAAAATGAACTGCTCTGTGATTCTGCGATCTAGCCAATGAAGATACATGAATGTGATGTGGTTCAGGGCAGCGGTTATTACAAGTGTGGGATTGTACCCGTGTACAACAGCCACACACAAATACCTAGAGTGCCTGAAGTCAAATTATATCTCATATCATCTCTGTTTTGATTGTGTGGCTGTGGTAGGTAGGACATACATTGTACTACAGTGGGGATCTAATGGTCTGTATTTTTAGTGCTATTATCTGGAGTGTGTATGTTACAGCTGAGAGGGATGGATAAGATCAGTGTGCCAGTGGGGTATGTGCCCTGTATGCACTAAACAAATGATGACCCTGCCCGAAGGAATTTGGGGAGTAAATACTGGGTGGAAAGCGTGGGAGAGAGGTGTGCTGTTTTTTCTGTCTTACAGTCAGGGAACAAAGGCATGGAGGGACTGAGGTCAATACAGGCTCACTGGCATTGAAGAGCTCTGGATCAGGCCCTAATCACGCTCCAGAAATCATCTCTACTGCAGGCTCCCGACTATCCATAAATATTTTTAGCTGCCTGTCATCTAGGCAGCCGAGATGTCCTCCAGCTTGCTGCAAACCCAGAAGTGTACGCAACCTTCACAAACCCCAGGCAGAGATTGCAATAGATGGTGTGCACAGACTGCCGGTTTCTGTTTTGGTAACCAAAACCTTAGGGTAACTTTTAAGGTTCAAACCTTGCAAACAGATGCAAGAGTGGATGTGTGCGGCACCGTTGCTCTCTAGTAAGCAAGCTACACAGGTCTGTGCTTTTTGGATTGCTGACTCTTGAACCATTAGTTTCTGACAAAGTACATTATCATGCTGGTTTGCAGTGTAAATTGCCCTGTGGAGCTGCAGGATTGCTAGACTGTAACTTCTGGAGTAGAGGGAGCAGCCCTAGGAGAAACTTTCAAGTTTCTATGTAAGAAGTTACAGTTTAGGCAATGTATCAGAAAGCTCTTCCAGTGTGCCAAGATTTGGGCTGCTTGGCTGGCACAGCAAGAGAAACTGCACTGCACGCTCTGCTGCATCTTGCTTTTGGCTTTCCCTGTGGCGTGTATCGTAGGAGAGTGCGGCTACATCCCACCAGTGGTGTTCATCTGAGTAGGGTGCAGATGCTGGGAAGAGAATAAGGCTCATGTTACTATTTTATCTGTTTGTACGCGCTTTTGGTACAGTTCTTCAAGGCATAAATACCTTTCTTCCTCTTCTTCTGATGAGCCCTGAATTGCAATCACAACTCTGTGTTTGATAGCAGCACACTCTCAGTGGAGGTGGTTAGATGAAATGAATGGAGCATAATGATATAATTGTGATCACAAGTAAGAGAGGAGGGTAGGTTGTGAAGATAAAAAATCCGAGTAAATAATGGTGGCAAATGACAACACTACTATGAAAGTGTTGTTTTGGTTTAATGGACTAAGGCATAAGCAGGAGGCTTTCCACGATACCTTATTTTAATTTAAGCACCCTTGGAGCTATTATCTTGCTCACTCTAAGATTAGCTTTGACTAAAAAAATAGAGGTTTTTCTCCTGAGAAATGTCAGCTCTCATCCTGTAAACTTATTTCTTGAAGTTAGTGAAACACACTCAGGTAACATTAAGTGTTGCCTGAAGCACCTGCAGGAGCGAGGCCAGCACTGAATGCTGATGGTTTTGCATTGCTGAGCTTGGATAAGCCTCACTGAGCTTCTTCTAGTGAAATGGGTTAAACTAACACGTCTCACTTGACAGTCACTACTGGCTGGGAGCATGTTGCTTATGGGATAGGTCAGGTGATGGACAACAATACAGCAGTTGATTGTAATCCATTTGGTTATGACTGTCTGTTGATACTCTTTGTAGGCACATACAAAACTCTGCTGAAAGAGTAGCTGACATTGATTCAGAGGCAGAGCAAACACTGGCACACGTCTCCTCCCTTACAGCCTGAGCTGCAAATCACATTTTGGGATTAAGGGGGTATAATGCTGCGTGCAGGCAAGGAGAAGTGCAGCCCTGTTACTTGGAGTTGCTTCATTGCCTGCTTCACGCCAAGAGGTTTAAAGAGACACTCGTTTCCCCTTATGATCTACCCTGTCTGCAAATTGTTTGCTTTTGTTTGTGGGTAGGAGTCTTCAGAATGGCTGAATTTATCCCAGTCTTGCCTTTTTGGGGAGTTCTGGACACAGCAGGTCTCTTGATTCTTTGGGTGAAATTTGAGTAAATTGCGAGTAGTGCTAATCACAAAATCGAGGCAGCATCAAGTGTTACTTCAACATTAATAAAAAAAATAAGCCCAAAACTTAGTCTTGTAGCTTCCTATTGTGCAAGAAGATGTTGCCTTTAGGGAGCTATATACCTGTGTTTGTTTTTAAACAGGAGGTAAGTTAACCCAAGTTCTGTGTCTACTTGTATAGTTTCTCGTCCCATGTAATCTGACAAATTGCCCCGCAGCTGACACAAAAGGTTATTAAAGCATTGACTTGCCAATCTGCAAAATGACGCAAAATGATGCAAAACAGCTTTGGAAAAATGGAAACGGCTCCTGCAGGGTCTCTAGAATGAGGGACTGGCAATTCCCTTTGCATGGGTACTGATTTGTTAGCAGCAGTTATGAAACTTTCAGGAGCGAGGGGTCTGCTGCTTCTCGCTGAACAGCAGGAATGCAAGGAACTACGCTAGCTGAGATCTAGAAAGATTGGCAAAACATTTCTTTGTCTTGATGTGGATTTTTTTTTTCTCCTACTCTTTCAGCATGAACAGCCAGGAAGGTCCGTATGCATCGCAGAGAAAACTCGGCCATGGCTCTCCCAGCTTTGGACCAAGGAAGGACTCGGTGAGTCACGTTAGGGTTTTGCAAATGTAGGTGATCTTTGTATTAGTTAAATTACGCTGATGCAGGAGTATCATGTGTGCCTCTAATTCAGAGAAGGGGAAGCTATGTCTGCCTCACCCACAGGTGCAACGAAGGTAACTCCTTAGATATCATCATCATCATGTTTCCACTAGAGGTTGCACTGGTCTGAGCACATTTCCCAGCACAGGCGCGCTCAGCACCTCCTCACCTGGAGCCATGCATGCAGGAGGAATTTGCTACAAGAGCAAGAACACGAGTCTAATATAGCACCTCCTTAGGATATTAGCAGTAACGCCTAACGCATTCGTGTAATAAAAGCACTGTGTCAACTATGCTTGCAAAACTTTACTGGTAGAAACCCCACTATTGCTTTTAGCAGCTTTGCTAATGATGGCAGCACCTGTGCCCAATTAAGGGCTGCTGCCCCAGGAGCAGCTCCTCAGCTCCAGGTGAGGGGCAGTGCTACATAGTGCTCATGTGCTTTCTGGGGTTCCCCTTCAGTCTGGGGGCTGCAGGAACAGGCACTGTTCTCAAATACCAGCTCCTGATTCCTTCAAAACGTGATAAAAAGAACTACAGGAAGGAAGCAACTGGATTTTGTAGGCTTCTACAAACAGCTGTGTGTTTCTTCATAGCTGTATAAAAATGGCTTTTGGAATGAAAATGTAAAGTCTCTAAGTTGAAGTGTGTTCAGACGGTAAGTGTACTTCTGAGGTCTGCTTACCTGCTACCCTGGCCATTTGCTGGTAGTAGGTGTCCTCAGCTTTTATCCTTTTGGCTTATTTGTTTTGATTCTGTGGACGTCCACGTAAGGGGGTAGCTTTGATATGTCTGTAATTTAACATGTGTTTTGTGCGTGTGGTGAATCAGGTCCCTGTATTTTGTAGTCTTTTGGGGTTTTATGCTTTGTAAAACTGCAGGATCTGACCCAGCAGGTCCCTTCTTTCATGGCTGCCTTGGTTCCAAGACTTGTGAGCAGGCATGTAGTCACAAGATTTCCACCTTCGTAGGTGAGAGGGTATCAAGCTTTGCATCAGGACGTTAAGCACTTTGCTAGTTGGAGCAACAAGAAGCCAGCTGTGCTTCACTTCATCCTTGGGAGCTGCTTACCTGAACAGGAGAGCAACTGGCCACCGTGGCTGTTATTTGGTATCCCCAGTTTGTTTTTCAATGGAGTATGGGGGTGTTTGGCAGGAGGGGAGAGCTCAGAGAAAGGAGAGGAATGAGGTCCCTGATTGCTATGCGAGGGCTTTGGGGGCTTCAGCTGGGGAGCTCCTGCCTGACTCCCTGTTGGAAATCCCCATCCTCCTTCTTAACTAAACTGGTGGTAGCTGGACCTTGCCAGTGGCTCGCTTGGCTGCCTCTTTGCTTTCAGCTGTCCCCCCATTGCTGTGGGGCTGCCAGAGTCGGAGCGAGCGACCCTTTCGGGTCCCGGAGAGGGGTACCGCCGGCTGGGCTGGGGGGAGCCGAGCTCACCCTCCCCAGGCCAGCCCGGCTGCGGGGCAGAGCAGCGCGGCCCCTCCCGGGAGGGCTCTCCAAAAGAGGGATTAATTGCAATTACCGCTGGGGGTTGACTGCGGGCTCCCCGCGGACTCCAGCCCGCTTTCGGGGTTCCCCGGGCGGTCGCCGGGGGCTGCAGCCCGGCCGGGGCGGCGCCGGGGGAGGGCCGGGGGGGTCCCGCCTCGCCGCCCGGCCCCTTTGCATTGCGCATGGGCCCTCCCCGCCGGGTGGCCATGTTGCAGCCCTAGCAGGCAGCGCAGAGGCGGCGGCGGGCCGGGGAGCGCAGCGAACTGCACCGCGATGGCCGTGGCCGTGGGGAGACCGGCGGTGGGTGCGGCGGCGGCGGCGGGGTTGAATGATGGCGGGGGCCGCCGTACCGG